TACAATAATACATTTAGGTATACCGTATTTCTGTTCTCTTTTCCAGTTATTTATAGTTACATGTGTTGTAAGAAAGTGAAAAACTATACTTTTGAGTACTGTTGTTCTTTTGATAATAGATGCTCTGTTGCTTTCATATTAGATGCTGCTTTCTTTTGCGATAAGTTCTCGTACCTAAAATATGTTTGTTCCTATACAGAGGACTGTACATAAAATATATAGGTATAGGATTGCCAACTGATCCATCCACAAAATCAGGACATAAAAAATGCAAAAAAAATTATAGCTCTAAAAATGTATATTTGAATTTGAAGGCTCAAAATGGAAGTTTTTGGGCGTGGCACCGTAAAAATTCTTTGCCTTCGGCGGTGACTGCGGCAGGCCACCCTTCCCTACAATAGCCCCCCATTTCTCACAGCCACCGGCCGCCACTGGTCATTTCTAAGATATTTGATTGTTTTCCGAATTATGAGAAACCATATTAGCAAATTTCTCCGAAATAATTGTAGTCTGGTTTTATTGCTGCAAGTTGTTCAAGGGGTATTTAAAACATGGTAGCATAGAATGGGTACATCAATTTCTGTGGGAAAACTTTTTCTTTGACAGAATAAAAAAATGTGTTTTTCGAAAGTGTTGACAGGAACGAAAAAACTTTTCATACAAGATTTTTAGGTATTTATGAGACCTACAAAATGAGACCACACGTAAAAAGATCCGACTAATAGCAAAAGTATTATGGCCGAAAAACAAGGCCAAATACAGGTTTTGGCATTTGGTAATGCGACGATAATTTCAAACTTCTAAATAACGACGACAAAATAATTGGAGTATATTGGTCAAGTAGTTTTTTGAGAATGTTTGAATATGTTTAGAAGAAAAAACGTAACCTATCCTTTTTTGCATAAAAATAACATTTCAAATAACATTCATATAGGCAAAGTCAACTAGTGTATTTAGCTATAAAATGCCTTTTGAACTTACCCTGTATATTGCTCAGTAAACTAGTAGTGATGGCCAGAAAACAAGGTGTTTTGGGATAAACAATTAGAAATTCTCAAAAACTAATTGACCAATCAGATTCAATTTTGTTGTGGTTACTTAGATGTACGAATCCTACGAATTTGAAGAATTTCTAGTATCTGCGAGAAACCATCGTTGCATTGCAAACAAGTGCCAAAACCTGCAGTTTGCCTCGGTTTTCGGCCATAACTTTAGTCCGATTTTTTTAGGCGTGGCCTCATTTTGTAGGTCTCATAAATACGTGAAAATATTATATGAAGAACTTTTCTGTTCTTGCCAACACTTTCGATTGAATCCCAAAAAACACGTTTTCTCAAACGTTGTTGTCGAATAAAAAGTTTAATCACAAAAATCGGTGTACCCATTTTATCCGTTCATATTTTAAATACCCCTTGAACAACTTCCATCAATAAAACCAGACTTTACAATTACTTCGCAAACCATGAGTATTTTCGTCTATGATTAGACTATTAAGAAAGAAAGATTTTATAATCGCGAAAAACGATATCGCCGAATGGCCGCGAGCTACTGTAATTACGAATAATTTTTAAAAGTTAATATATATATATATATATATATAATAATTGAATCATACGCCATTTTATTCCATTTAATAAACTTCGACCACATCCATTATGCACCATGATTAATTCTCCCAATGTAGGATATTCTGCGCGAGCTCACGCTCGACTGACAACTTAATAAATAAAATAAAAATGTATTTTTAAAATCAAGCTTTTATTTAGCGTTCATAAAATGCACTAAACATTTAAAAATATCCGATTAGTAATATTTAAACGATAATGAAACTGATTCAAAGGTTTCAAATGAAAGCCGTGTTACATCCTTTTTGCATTCTGCTGTCAAAACGTAATACACTTTAATTGGGAAACTTGAAATGAAGGAGCTTCATTATCGTTCAAATATTTCTTAACGGAAAAAATATTTTTAGATTTTCAGTTCATTTTATGAAGGGCTAAATTAAAAAAGGCTTGTTTTTTATAAAGGTACGTACTCGCGCTGCTCGGATACTAACAAACCCACATACATACACAAATATCTCTGTCTCGCATCAGTATAATATTTGTACAAGGCAGCTGAAATCTAACAACGTTTTAGTTTTCCGGGCTCACAAAACCATTGGCCAAAGGCCATTTAACTAACTAGCACCTAGAGCTTATGCATTTATGCCGGAAGGCTTAACAGCACGGAAATCAAAAAAGCTGTGCAAACAGAAATTGAAACAGTTTTTGGAGCACAGTTCGTGGATTTAAAGTTTTTATTAGCGTGTTAGTTTAACCAGTGTCCACAGTCTGTAGACATTTGTCTTCATTTATTGTTTTTTTTATCATGTACATTTAATTCACCTGCTTTCTTGTAATTATTTGATTAAAATTTATCATCATAAAGTTATAAAATGAATAACGTTTTTTGATTATGTATACATTTCAATAGTGTACAAGTTCAACCTCACTGCCACGCACAAGCCTTTTTCTTCAGCGGATATTATATGTTTATTTGTAGCATGATTACATGTATTGTCATATTACTTTATAACTGCATTTACAAATAAACATTTCTTTTACTATTTTATTTTTCACTTTCTAGTATTTATGATGATTGCTTTTCGTGTTTCTATCATTATGCTCCTTCATTTGATACTCATATCATAGCGGTGACCACGGAAATCGCCATTCTGCAGTGGCCGTCACATTTGATTGCATTCTGAATGATAACACTTTGCTTATTGTGTTTTTCTCATCAAGCCCTTTTATTTGATACCTATAATATTCGCCATATTCGATTCAAAATGGAGGCCGTTAATTCCTTCTTTATTGTCACGCAAACCAAACGTGTCTACAAAATTTCAGCACAATTGGTTAAGGTTAACTGATTCAAAATTCAGTTCCAAGTTTTGTGCGTGTTGTAAAAGGTTTACAATCCCCGTAAAGTGCTTTGGGATTTTATTAATTAAAGATTCAAGAATATTTAGCAACTATGAAAACATTTAAATATTTAAACACGTTGCTTTCGTTCAACCACAGCTAACTATGGACAGCTGCTTAGTGCTATTTGGAAACTCATCAGCAAGGTATTGGTTTGGTCTCTGCGACAGCGAACGAGAGCCTGAGATCTATCGAAATAAGACAGCGCACAGCGTCATCTACATGTGGGATTGTAGATATGCTTTCGCTCGAAGTCGAAGACCATGCTGATGAGATGCCAAGAAGCACGAAACAGCTGTCCATAGTTTTCTGTCTTTCGTTGGCGAACGAAAGCAGCATGTTAAATTGTTGATTGGCGAGTAGACTACATCTACTATACTGCCAGAATCGTCAGCCTCTAGCGGTCACATTGACCGATTTTGGTAACAGATGGCGCTTTGCGCTATCTTGTTTCGACTAAAATTTTTCTTTTTCCATTTTGTTTTTCGGTGGCGAATATTATGCACTATTCCCAAGAGAAGAGTTCAGAAGAACCGTTATTGTCCAGAATGACCAAAAAAACCTAAAACAACTTTGTCCAGAGCGAAATAAAACGTTTTGGAATTTGGTTGATAAAAATGTTCGGACAATTTTGTGCCCGGTAACGTACATATTCGGAGGCGCTACAATGCATTAACTGTTTTAATCATTACAAGTCGCATAAAAAGAGCTTGCCCACAGATCACTTTCCTGGATGTCCTGTTTACTGACAATTTGAAGCAGCGCGTGGACTATGGGAAGTAATAAAAATGATGTTTTAAAAATTTTCCATCTAAATGTTCGATCACTCACAGCTTCTTTTAATGAGTTTTCTTTGATGGTAAAATATCAATATTATAGCTGTGTCTGAAACTTGGCTTTCAGGGAATATACCAGATAATCTTATCAGTATGCACGATTATAATTTCTTTCGCAAAGATAGAATTGGCAGAGGTTGGCATATACGCAAAGGCTAATCTGAGATACAGTACTGTTAATATCGATTTTTTGGGTAACAGTACGCTGGAATTATTTTGTTTCAAATGTAGAATCAATTCCGTAAGTCTGCTTGTTGCGGTACTTTATAAACCTCCTCACTGTTCTATCAATGATAGTATAAACCACATAGACAATCTCGTTTCTATCTTAATGCCTCAATATGATGACATTATTCTTCTTGGAGACATGAACATTGATATGTTCGATACCACTAATGTACTCAGCAGTTGTCTTGATTTTTATGGTTTCAGGCAGGTCATCGATGAGCCTACTCGTATTTCTCGTTTCAGTTCTCCTTTAATTGATGTCATATTTTTAAATAATATTGAAAGTGTTCTCAACTCTGGTACCTTAAACGTAGATCTGATATCAGACCACACACCAGTATTTTGTGAGTTAAATCTAAAAACCGTTTCATCGGAGGAAAAATTCATAACCTATAGGGATTTTAAGAACATTGATGTAATCCAATTCAAGCAGGATTTGGCTGCAGCTGGCTTAGAAGAAATGCTGTATATTACTGATATTAACTCCAAAATTAAAATCCTTTATGAGGTGCTTATTGAGCTTTTTAACTTTCATTCTCTTATTCCATGGTTATCTTTTGCACTTGAGGTCATTCTTAAGGTGAGAGATGAGGCTTTGATTAAATTTGTAACAATCCATCAGACGAAAATTGGGCAGCGTATAAACAGTCAAGAAATGATTCACTTGCTTCAATCCGGCGTGAGATAAAGGCAAATATTTATCCCGCTTTGATAGTCTCAATTCTAGAAAAGCTTGGGGTCAGCTGAGAGTAATGAATATTTGTCCCCAAAAACACATTGAAATACCCTATGTTCTATTAGACCCTAAAGAAGTCAATAACCACTTCTTGTTAAATTACCAAAATCTTAATATCAATTCCCGCTTGATTGACAGTACAATAGAGTTTTATGAGAACAGCTTTGACAGGCAAGATGTAACTCCATTTACATTTAGGATGATGACCGCTGAAGAAATTTTGGACATAGTTACCTCTATCAAGTCACCTGCTACAGGGAGTGATGAAATTAACTTTAACATGCTAGGTTACTGCTTACCTGAAATTTTATTGTCTTTAACACATATTGTTAATATACTAAGTGACATATAAATCCGAACACCCAGTTTAAATGGTTTTATTTTAATAAAAGTTGGTGAATGTATTTATCTTACTGTAAATAACAAGTAAAAAAATTTTCAGCCTTATCAGTTGGACATTCCGGTTTTTATACTGCTTTTTTTTAATTCACTAGCGATCTAAAAATGAATATTTCAGCCGCAGTAAACAATCAACGTTGGCGGATTTTGGTTCTTGGCATCCTTTACGATCGGTTACGATGCCTAGAGTACGGAGACCTGTACGATTTCGTCAACTTAGTGAGTTTGATAGGGGCCGTATAGTGGGACTTCGGGAAGCTGGACTTTCTTTTCGGGCAATTGCAGTTAGAGTGCAAAGAAGTGTAGACACTGTGGTTAGGTGTTGTCAGGCATGGCTTCGAGAAGGCCGTACGCAAAGAGCAAGGGACACTGGACGCCGCCGTAGAACAACAGACCGTGAAGATCGCCTCCTAAGATTATTGGCCTTAAAGGACCGTTTCTCCACTACCAGGTCCATTGCAAATGAATGGTTTGCAGAACACGGAAGACCTATTGGCATGCGAAGTGTTTACCGACGAATGGGAAGTTTTGGCTTGTTTTCATACCGGCCACACTGGGTCCTCCCTTTAACTCGAGAACACCGACGTAATCGCCTTGAGTGGTGCAGACAACGGTCACTCTGGGATCAGGAATGGAACAGTATTGTCTTTAGTGACGAGTCTCGATTTTGTTCAGGCATGCACGATGGTCGTGCCAGGGTTAGAAGGCGACGTGGTGAAAGGAGGAATCCACAGTTTTTTGTGGAAAGACATGTTCATCACACTGTTGGAGTTATGGTACCAGGTCACCTTTAATCTTCATCAGAGGTAACATGAACGCGCAGCGTTATATCCACGAAGTTCTAGAACCCCATCTTTTACCCTGTCTTGACACCCTGGCAGATCCAACTTTCCAACAAGATAATGCCCGACCACATGTTGCAAGAGTCACAATAGACTTCTTTCAACATAATGATGTCACATAGTTACCATGGCCACCAAGATCTCCCGACTTATCCCCAATTGAGCACGTGTGGGATATGATGGGTAGGAGATTGCTCAATTTGCAACGTCCTCCTCAGACTCTAGAAGCACTTCGAGGGTGGTTGCCTGGAATGAGATACCACAGGAGGACATTGACCACCTGATCAGAAGCATGCCTAGGCGCGTTGGAGAATGCGTAGCACATCAGGGTGCATCCACACATTATTAAAGGTCAAAGGGCTTTAAAGCAGTGCAATCATTTTGAAATTTTTATCATTTACTTATTATGCTTCACTAAGTATTTATTATACAAAATTTTATTAAAATAAAACCATTTAAACTGGGTGTTCGGATTTATATGTGACTTAGTATATATGCCTTGAGACCTTGTGACTTTTCCTGAGGCTTGGAAGGAAGCTATTATCATCCCTTAGCCAAAGTCAAAAATCCAACCACTCATAATCATTTGCGGCCTGTTAGTTTGCTGTGCTTTTGTTCGTAGGTATTAGAGAAAGCAGTGTACATTCAACTAGTGGAATATTTACAGCAAAATAACTTGTTTCCTCCTCATCAATCAGGATTTCGTGCGGGACATAGCACTACTTCAGCTTTGCTTCATCTAACTGACAACATCGTAGGTAACTTAGACAGACATATTAATACCATATTAGTGATGATTGATTTCTCAAAAGCCTTTGATTCAGTTAATCACAAAATCATGTTGAGCAAGCTGAAGTACATTGGACTATCTGATATTCCGCTAAGATTTTTTCAAAGCTACTGGGCTGAAAGAAAACAGGTATAGATCGACCAGCCAAAGATTGCTAGGGACGAAAGGGGGAAATGCGATGAAAAAACCTTACCATTAGACGATTTTATATGGAGTCATAGGCGGAGATCGGAGAGACTTGAATTATTAATTGAATTTATATTTTATTACAACTGGTAGTATTAATATTTTTTTGCGATTCATAATGACGTGATACCAAACATACATTATAAGAAATAAATATACACAAACACTGAATATTGAGAACAAAATAAATATATTTTTTAGGCAACAAGTAATATTCCTATGTACGCATTATGATTGAACAGCAAAACAAATTATGCATTCTTCTAAAATAGAATACAACAAGTCAAAAATATCTGACTGAATAGAAAAATATAGGAAAACAAAAAGTAATTTCTTGATGAAATAACCCATAAACAACACATAGAATTAGACTTTCTACTGAGATACTAAAAGCCACAAACCAATAGTATAATAAATGAATATCTAAAAATTCTAAAAGGTAGCCAATCTAGTATAGTTTCAATCCTGATTAGAGTCATGATCACTGTCTGAGGAACTGTCATTGCTATCACTTTCACCTCCTATGTTGATTATTATTTCTTCCTGTATTTCTTGAATGAGACTGTCTTTTTCCCAATATTCATCTTCAATTTTTATAACATGTCCAATAACCTTTTGCCAGTCACTGGCACTTACTGAAGCGATGGCCTTATTAGAAATTTCATCTAGTTTTTTTATAGTAAATTCGCCGCTTGTATTATGGCTTCTAATGAAAAATTTTACTTGTGCCCAAATCATCTCTATGGGATTAAACTGACACATATAGGGTGGCGTTCGAAGTGGGGTGTGTCCGAAACTTCTTATTAAATTATCTATCTTATAATTTTTCTCATCAGATGGTGGCCTATGTAGACAAGCTATTTCATAAAGCTCCATTTTTTTAGCATTAGGATCATGCTCTATACCTTTTTTGCTCAACCACGTGATGATGTCTCTTTTTAGAGAAGATCTAGTTGGAGGCTTGTCTTCCAAAGCTGAATGGTAAGGTGCATTATCCATTATTATAATACTATTAGGAGGAATGTTAGGAAATAGTTTTTCAGTAAGCCACTTCGTGAAATTTTCTTGGTTCATTTGACCGTGATAATCACCAGTGGCACAGCCAGCCTTGAAAATGAGACAGGCTCCAGGAACAAAACCATCTTGCGAACCCGCATGAACAATTATAAGTCGTCCTGGAAATGAATAAATAGCCTCATTTTAGTGTTATTTTAAGTTTGCCAACACCTTTTTGAATCACTATGTATAAAAAACATATTTTTGAGAAAAAAATACTTGCAAGGGATTATGTATTCAATTAGACAAATTAAATGAGCACTTATTAAGAATATTCCAAAATTGAGAAAAATGTATAATAAGCAAAATCGAGGTGAAAGAAACTTTATTACCTGTAGAACTTATATTGCTCAGGACACCCATAATTTCTTCGCTTTGCCAGCATTTCTTGAAAGTGAGGTCATTATCAACCCAAGTTTCGTCCAAATAAATAATATGCCTTCCTTCTTCCCGGAACTTTTTAATAGACCTAAGATACTTGTATCGCCAATGTAAAATACTGGGTCTTTCCATTAGTAATTTCCTTTTGTTGTGGCATTTACGCCAGTAAAATCCTTTTGCTTTTAAAAGCAGCCTCAACGATTCTTTACCAAATGGAAATTCCATTTCTTCCTTCAGTTTGATTAGAAGTTTACTACAAGTAGGTACCACTTTAAAATCACAGTAAAATTTTTCTATCATTCTCCGAATAATGGAAAAATCGACTCCATCAATTTTTTGGATCACAGAAGGGCGTGATCTCTTTTTTCCGGGAGAAGCTAAAGGCTGTGTGGAGGTTGCATTTTGCCTGTCTTTATCTTCTTTTCTAATTTTACTTATAGTTCGTTCACTAACACCCGTATAATATGCCGCCCTTGCATTTCTAGCTACCAGTGGATAAACGAAAGTATTGTTAGCCGCTTCTGCATCGCAAGCACGTATCACGTTTGCTATTATTTCCCTTGCCTGGCTGTGAATAACTTTCCCATGCTTGAATTCCATTATCACCACTAAACAGTAAATTATATTTTCAAAGTATTTGCCAACTGCCTACGCCTATGGGAGTAGGTTTATAAATGACCGTGCCATCGGCACGTTATTCTAGTTTCAGATAAGATAAGAGTTTTGGACCAATCAGCGACCGGATGTTTACCTGCGGCCTGGGTTTTCCAGCTACATTGCCAAATTCAGCGGAACAATTCTATATCTTAAATATGTTAATATGTATGGACCGCATTTTATGTAGAACATCTGACAACTTCGCAATTTTTTGTCCGCATTCTTTCGGCTTGCAATCTTTCGCTGGTCCAACATTAGTTAAGACGGTTAGGGGCGTCTCTTCTAGTACTGTGGTTTCGTCTGGCGTTCCGCAGGGGTCAGTTCTGGGACCTCTGCTATATTTAATTTACACTATAGACTTAGACTCATATGTGGAATTTTGTTCTATACAAACGTATGCTGATGACACACAATTGTCATTTCACTTCAAATATGCTCAGTTAAATGAAGTGTCGTTTAAAATTAATACTGACCTTATCAATATAACGGATTTTTGTAAAAAGCACTGTCTCAGGATCAATCCTGAAAAGAGTTCAAGTATGCTTTTTTCTCCGAAACACATGTATAATAACATAAAGGACGCAGTTGTACTCATTATAAATAACGAGCGCATCCCCATGGTAGAACATTCTAAAAACCTGGGTCTTATCTTGGACTCTAACTTGAAGTTTGATAGACAGATCGGTTACCTGTCTCAAAAAACGTATGCCAAATTAAAACTTGTATACTCCAACCGGTTCATTTTAAACTTCAAGACTAGGAAAAAAATAGTTGAAAGCTTGATCCTGTATTCTTTGCAATATTCTCTGATTTTACTCTATTCTTATTTGGATTCGTCGGATCGGTATAGGTTATAAAAGATACAAAACAGCTGCTGCAGGTTTGTGTTTGGACTTCGTAGATATAGTCATGTCTCTTCGAAGATTAAAGACTTGAATTGGTTAAAGATGGAATCACAGTTTGTTTATGCTATGAAGGTGTTTGTCCATAAAGTAGTTCGCACAAAAAAGCCACCGTACATTTTAGAAAAGCTAGTACCAAGAGGTAACATTAATCAGAGAAATTTCAGACACAACCTAAATTTTGCGATGCCTGTCCACTACACAGCCCTTTTCCAGAAAAGCTTCACATTTCATGCTGTCAAGTTATACAACTCTACAGATAAAATGTGTCGCAGTAAAACAATAGTACCTTTCAAGAGACTCATTAAGAAACAGCTGATGGGATATTGATAGTTCAACTGTGCATTTGTTAAAAATGTTTTTTTCTTTTCTTTTTCTGTTACATATTACTCTATTGGCTCATGTGTGCGTGTTGTCAACACGTTATCTATTCAATTCATTTACTTAAATTTCTTTTTCTTCTTATTATTACTGTTGTTTGTTTGTGTATCGAGTTTCACTATGTTACTCTTTCGCACACAGTGAGGTTAAATGTAAGAGTAGCCATTTGGCTAAACTTCGTCACACTGATGTATGTGTATTAATAAAGACATTTATTTATTATTATTATTATTATTAAAAGGGGACCTTAATTGTGCAAAAAACCGAATCAGAATATTTTTCCGATCGAATGCGAAGACGTACATCCTAAACTCAAAGAGGTGACGTGACACCGCCTTAAATTCTTTTAGGCGGCATCTCACATTCTGAATTAACCAAGAATTAACGTATTTTCTGTTTCTAAGACTAACGATATGGATGCGAAATGGAATATAGAAAGCAATCACACAGTGATAGCTGTCTCTAAATGGCTATCGTAGGTATTTACGATGACAAAAGATTTACGTATGTTGTAGTTCAGATGGAAAATACCAGGTGAGTTGGGACTGAATGTTCGTTTTATCATTCCTTAGGCTTACTACGTTTCGAATGACCAGTAATTACTGGCTAATGGAGTTGAGCTATTTAGTATAGTAGATTCAAGAAGAATGATTTTCTTTACAAGGAACGGCAATTCTACCCTGATTTCAGATTTTTAAAATTGTTGCTTTATAGTATCAGAGGTGGGATTATTATTATTATCGGCTATTTTGATTTTTTATAGCCAGAGTACATAGAACGAGGTGTGTTCATTAAACAATGGGAATTTTCGTTTTTTGAATAAAATATTTTTTTATTCGTCTACATCAATAGTTCCCATTAAATAATGGGTGATTTTTTTGCTAGTATCTTTTTGGCAACACTGTTTTTGACAGATGACGCGTGAATCGTGTCTTATGTCATTTTCAGACTTGTACAGTTTTGTCTATAATTTAACCATGAATCGGCTTACGAACGAACAACGCTTGCAAATTGAATTTTACTATGCTCGGTTAAGAGAGTGCATCGAGCACTGCTTCCAATTTATGGGCAATTTGGTCGGCCTACTGAGCTATTCGGAAGCTTGTGACTAAATTTCGAACCCAGTTTACATTATTGGACATTAAACCACCAACACGCAGACGTAGAGTGAGGACTGAAGAAAATATTGCGGCTGTATCCGCCAGTGTTAGTGATGACCGTGAAATGTCGATTCGTCGCCGTTCGCAGCAATTGGGCATCATTTCTGGTTGAATGGGTGCGTTAACAAGCAAAATTGCCGCATCTGGAGTGAAGACCAGCCAGAAACATTGCAAGAGCCACCAATGCATCCCGAAAAAATCACTGTTTGGTTTGGATTATGGGCCGGTGGCATCATCGGGCCGTACTTCTTCAAAGACGTCAATGGCCGGAACGTAACTGTGAATGGCGAGCGCTACCGTGCGATGATAATAAACTTTTTTATGCCCAAAATGGAAGATCTGGACTTGGCTGACATGTGGTTTCAATAAGATGCCACACCGCACACGAAACAATGGCCCTATTGAGAGGCGAGTTCGGTGAACAGTTTATCTCACGTTTGGGGCCCGTCAATTGGCCACCTAGATCGTGTGATTTAACGCCGTTGGACTATTTCTTGTGGGGCCATGTTAAGGCTAATGTCTACAGGGATAATCCAGCAACGATTGACGCACTGGAAGCCAATATTGAAGCATTTATTCGTGAGATACCGGCCGATATGTTGGAGAGAGTGTGCCAAAATTGGACCTTGCACATGGGCCATCTAAAGCGGAGCCGCGGCCAACATTTACATAAAATAATCTTTAAACATTAAATTATATCGACCGTTCTATCGACTCAAATAAAGATTTAATCGTGTTTTAAAATTTTTTGTTTTTTTTTTTAAATCAAATCCTATACCTTTTAAAAAAATCACCCGTTATTATGCGCTTCTTACAATTCTCGAAACATTTCTCAAACTCAATTTATGGGATCGCGTTTAGCTTGTTTAGCGATACGTTTTTAATGCCATCTGTGCTTGTAAAATGATGGCCCCTTGAGGTTCACATGGAGCATCATTACAGTATTGTTTTCGGCCAAAAATCCTATAAACTGTCAGCAGGAGCATCACCGTGACACCATGTGTTTTTCTACAAATCCGGACGTTTATTCGGATTTCTTCGCGCAAACGGCGTTGGATTTTTAGGTAGTACACTTTATTGACCGTTTGACCTCGTGAAGATTGAAGATCACAGTGAGTATAAGGCGCGATGCACACTGAACGGACGTGAGGCGAGGACGTGGCACAGACTTATGTCAATTCAGCGTCTCTCCTATATAATTGAATTGTCCAATGCACACAGCGGCAACGTGGCGCTGGCGGTCGCCATCGCGCCCTTGCCACGTCTTCTTCCAGTCTCTTGTGGCGTACAAGAACAGACACGTCCGTTGCACGACACTTGTTGCTTACTTAAAACTTTTTAAAAATGCGAGACGATATTGAATTTAACATTCAATTTTGCGAGGAAATTGAAAAATATCCATGCTTGTACGACTACAGTCGTTCAGATTATTGTAATAGGAGTGCTCAGGACCAAGCGTGGCAGAAAATCGCAAAAAAATTTGGTGTTCAAGGTAAGTTTTAGTCTTTATTACTATTTATACACAATACCTACCCTGATATGGAATTGGGGCACATTCTGATAAATACATGGTTAGGTACTCTCTGATATTTTTTGCATTTGAGTGGGTCAGGGGTGGTAATTGCAAAATGGAATCACGGTGAATCACATTGTCGTATTGGGGCGTTGTGAATGTACCATTGCATTCTTTTATGGCGTTATGCAAAACACACATTGCTTGAACGGGTATATCAACTTTATCAGGCGTACATCGTATGGGTGTGTTTAGAATTGCAAATTTAGCAGCCAGCATTCCAAAAGAGCATTCCACAGACTTTCTTCCTCTGGACAATCTGGTATTAAAAATCCTTCTATTGTTAGTGGTTAATTCTCTACGGGATTAAGGCTTAATTATGTTTTTCTTTAAGGGGAACGCTTCATCAGCTGTAAAATAAAACGGAATCTGCTTGACATCTCCAGGTATGGGACGAGGTTGAGGTAAATCAAGATTACTAGACTGTAATGCTCTGCCAAAGTTACTGTTCATTAATGCTCTTCCATCACTATTACGTCCGTACTCGCCCACATCAACTGTCACGAACATGCCATCTGCATCTGCTACTGCGAGTAAAACAGTGGAAAAAAAAGCCTTTATAATTAATGTAGGCGGAACCTGATCGTGGTGGAGCTTGTATTCTGATGTGTTTACCGTCTATGCTGCCGATACAGTTAGGTAGATTCCACAATGAATGAAAACGGTCTGCAATTTGCATCCATTTCGCTGTTGTCGGTACAGGCATATATTTAGGTTGCAATTTTTCCCAAATGACTTTAGCAGTTTGATGCACTACCGCTCTGACTGTAGAATGTCCTTTTACGAAGTAATAGGACAGCGCTTTGAATGAACATCCAGATGCAAAGTATCTGAAACAAAAAAATGTATGATAATGAACTGTGAATCCTATTTTAAAAGTTTTTGTTTGTTATGAATCGTAATTATTTATGTCATGTCTCCATTGTCATTAATTTGTTTTCCTTGTTTCAGCGATAGAGTGCAAGGAGCGTTGGAAAAATGTGGGAGGACGCTATACAAAATACAAAAATCAGTCAAAACTGCCCTCTGGACCAGGTGCTAAACATATTAAAGAATACTACTTAGCTAGCCACCTTCGTTTTTTGGACTCTTTCGTGAGGTCACGTCCAAGCAAAAGCAACATTAAGTCTACACAGGAGGAAGCAAGAGAGAGTGAAGAAGAAAATCAAGATGAGGATATGGATGAAAAGTTGGATGAAACCGAATCTTCTGGGAAAGATACATCAAGTACAAAAATGCCTCCTCCACTCCTGGAACGGAACAGGAATAGTAGTGCCAGAAAGAAATTAAAATCATCAACTATAGATGATGTAAACCATTCTGCCTACAAGTATTTTGAGGCAAAACAACAAATGATAGAACGGAGACAGCAGAGTACCGCTACAAGTCAGCATATGGCATTTTTGCAGAGTATTTTACCGGACATGAAAGCAATGGATGACAGACAAAAACTGTACTTCAAACGGGAAATATTGAACCTAACCGAACAAATACGATATGCGCAGCCTGATCATAAAGCGGGATCCTCAATAAATGCTCAATCAAAAAGCTCTTCAGTGAATACTTTATCAAGGGATTCCTCAACTATAGATGATGTAAACCATTCTGCCTACAAGTATTTTGCGGCAAAACAACAAATGATAGAACGGAGACAGCAGAGTACCGCTACAAGTCAGCCTGACCCCGATATGGCATTTTTGCAGAGTATTTTACCGGACATGAAGGCAATGGATGACAGACAAAAACTGTACTTCAAACGGGAAATATTGAACCTAACCGAACAAATACGATATGCGCAGCCTGATCATAAAGCGGGATCCTCAATAAATGCTCAATCAAAAAGCTCTTCAGTGAATACTTTATCAAGGGATTCCTCAATACAAACCATTGAATGCACATCACCGAAGTCAATCGAAGACGACGCCAATGGGGGAGAGCGATTCTTCAACATGCAGCAACAAATTGAACAGGAAGAAGATTACACTATGGAGAGGTACCTGAGTTTTCTCCCAAAATATGGTTCACATCCACAGAAATGAAGACAAAAATATGTTTTCTGTTTTTGAAATTTGTGAATAAATTTATTACTAAATTAATTCATTCAGTTACTTACCTTAAAGTAATCAGTAGTCTCTCTTCTGGGCAAATTGGTTCCCTAAAATTGGTTGATCTCTTTTCAAGTCCTTCTTTTACAAGTGCCAATACATTATAAAAACACTCACGGGACATCCTATAAAAATTCTGGAATCGTTCTGGGTATGTGTTCAGTTCACGCATAACGTCGAATGTTCCACACGTTTTCCCCTTCTTTAGCCACAATGGATGCACCCAAAATCGTCTGGTTTTCTGCATATTACCCAAGTAAACCAGATCCAACATATCTTCATCATCTTCATCACTGCTTGAGAAATCCATTCGTTTGTGGCCCTTAAACTTCACCTCGATGTTCCAGCGAATGTTCGAAATCTTTCGTTTTCGTGACTATCCCGCTCCTTCTGTGTGCATTGGCACACGTCACGTCTCCGCAACGTCTGTGCCATGTCCTTGCCACGTCCTCGCCATCGTCCCCCCAGTGTGAATTGGGGCTAACCTTCACGTTTGACCGCACTTGTCGAGCCTTTTGCGGCGGGGATGCCTCCACTGGGACGACTGGGCCTTAGTTTCGACCTCATATCCGTAAGTCCATGTTTCGTTACCTGTTATTACATGTTTCAGTAACTCTGCATTATCGTTTAGTGTCGCCTGAGCAACTTCCATTCGCCGCGGTTTTTGTTCAAAATTCAACAATTTTGGAACAAATTTTGCTGCTACTTGTTTCATACCCAAACCATTCGAAAAAATCTCATGGCATGAGCCAATCGATATGTAGTTGTAGTCGCCTTTCTTGGCGGTTACGTCATCAACGCCATATGAAATAAGTAAACAGATCGAGTGACCGTACCATGGGCGGAACACAGACTGATTTTCAGCGCATCTGCTACTCTCTCCAGTACGCATGAAGTCGGTAACAGGGGACCGCTGTTTTCAATATAAATTTAGCACGAGCTCTAGGCCCTTGATCGGATTTCCAGCCAATGTACAATTTTATATCGAAGATTGATAACAGGACAACTTAAATTGCACGCCGATGTCAAATAAGTTGTCACTCTGACAAATATGATTGAAGGGCAATCATACGTAACGACAAAGTTTTCGAGACGGAGGCACATAACTAAGAAACTTATGTCTTTGAGCTTACGGAACAAACATTCACGCACAGGGATAGGTTGCATGTATATATATGAGGGAGATGGAGATATATAAAGGGATACTGGTTGTCTTACTTTGACCCGCCAAGAACAGTGACGACAACTATACCAGAATCATCACCGCCTTCTTTGATTATGAAATTGGAAACGCTTATATCATTGTTTAACTAGCCTTTGTTCAAATTTCATAGTTTATTCCATTTTTTACACAAAATTTGATACGCACTCTTTGATCTATTTCTTTTAACAAACGAAAATCGCCGAGCTCATAAAAGCCGGCTCAATGACGGATTGAGGCTCACATACCCAGGCCTGCCATTTTTTCAAATAAATAGCACATATTGCTGCATCTTAGGGTAAAAATTACAACGCTCTTTAATTTTCAATCGCCCATACACTATGCGGGAAGTAACATTCAGGCATCAGATCTTAAGACACTTGTGTCGCTCGACTTCAACAAAGCTTCTAGTCCGGGCTTGATTCCTGCCTTTGTATTGAAAAGGTGAGCAGCAGAGCTTGCTCCGGTTCTTTCGCATCTCTTCCAGATATCTCACGAATCCGGTACCTTTCCAGAAAACTGGAAATTTGATCATATCCAACCCATCCAACCAAAATAAAAAGAGAATCTAAGAACGACCCTTACAACTACAGGCCCATAGCTCTGTTAAGTAAAGTGATGGAGAGGTTCATAAATCGGGAGTTTCTGGAGTACCTAGAACGTCACGGCTTGATTAGGGTCAATTAGTATGGTTTCCGGTACCAGCGATCCATAGAGAACCTCTTAGCTTACGTGACGGAATAGCAAACTCATCCAGTCTTAAGGGTTCATGTCGTTGCCCTTGATATCACGAAAGCGTTCGATCCGCCGTGGCATGCTGCGCTCCTATGCAAACTTCCATTCTATGGCTTGAGAGAGAAGCTTTGCAGAAGGGTGGCTCTCTGGCCGCAAGATATCCGTCATAATTGACGGGTACTCCTCTTCATTCCACAACATCAACGCGGGTGTTCCCCAGGGATCGGTGCTGGCTCCGACACTATTCCTCTTACATATGAACGACCTCCTTTCCTGTACCTTCAAACCAATCCACAGCTTTGCTGAAGACAGCACTTTACATGCAGGAATTCAGAGTGACAAGCTGATCTCTTCCAGTGAGGAAGAGAAAAAAAGATTTGCAGCGGATTCCACTCTGACGAGAGATCTGGAGGTTATCACTGCTTGGAGACGCAACAATCTTGTACAGCTTAATGGTCCCTAAACAGTCTATTGTACCTTGACAAACAAGAGGCGTCCTAGCGCTCTTACGGTTTCGATGAATACATCGACGCGGGCGAGTGCCCTACTGGGGTATTTTGTGATCTCAGTAGGGCATTCGACTACGTTGATCACAACAAATTCCTGGAGATTGTTGTTAAATATGGTTTTCTCGGTCATGCTCTTAAATGGGCCAGATCGTTTTTATTCCAAAGAAAACAATATGTTTCAGTAGAATATCTTGATGCAGGGAACAATGTGAAAAACTTTGTGTCAAGTACGTTAGACATCTCGATTGGAAGCCCCCAGGGCTCTATTCTTGGACCAATCTTTTTCCTCTTATACATTAATCAGTTTGATAATGTTCATCCAGATACCCATTTTACAGCATATGCTGATGACGTTTCTGCCATAATATCAAGTAATTCAAATATAATTTTGGAAAATAAATGTAACAACTTAATTAGGAATATCAATACATGGTTTAACCAGTACTCACTTTACTTGAATCCTTCCAAAACAACGCTTATTCGTTTTCATCCAGCTCAAAAAACTGTAGAAGAGTTTCAAGTTAGATAGGGTGACCATCAACTCGATTTTAGAGGAGAAGTGAAATTTCTTGGAGTTCATTTTGATTCGAACTTAAATTGGAAGGCCCACTGCGAATTTCTCACATCAAAAATGTACTCTCAAAGCTATGTGTTGATGCAATTGAAAACCATCTTAACACCTGAACAACTGATACAAGTTTATTTTGCTAATGTGGATTCGAGATTAAGATATGGAGTATGTTTCTGGGGTTGGTCAACGCGCTCTGACGATGTATTTGTGTCTCAAAAAAGATGCATCCGATCATTAGCAGGCATCTCACCAACAGAAAGTTTCAAAAAATATTTTATAAGTTTCAACATTTTGACTGTCCCTTCGTTATATATACAGGGTGTTTCAGTTTATTGTTGCATAACTTTAAGATTCGATAGAACTTTTAAAATATTTCTAAATAATTCTAATATAGTTTTTTTTGAATATTTCGAACACTATTTGATGTACAACAGTGAAAATTGGTATACAAGGGTTTTTTGGTACGACAAAACGAACCATGGACATAGTTTTACTGTAGCGGGTAGAGGGCGCTCCCTACTGTACCTGTAGTGTAGTAAAATGACCGAAAAATTTTTCTTAGTGCAATTTTTTGCTTTTTGAATAAAAAAACTGATTCTTCGCACTTTTCAACATAAAAAGCTCTCTTGTGAATTTTCGTTATAGTTAGCCGTTTTTGAGATATTTCGATTTTTAAGGTTCGATGCATTTTTAATTATTTATGATAAAATAACGTTAAAAAGTCAGTATCTCGATAATTTTTAGAAGTAGGCTGTGCCTGCAAATATTTTTGAAATTGAAAGCAGAATAAGGTTAAACGTCAATTAGTTGACAGTTACTTCTGTTGTCTGTTGAAACCTGAAACGTTTTTTTGCAATTGTGAATGCACGAAATTTAGTTTCTTTTACCTGTTTTTTTTTGTAAGTTTTATAAAAATGCCATTTTTATTCTCCAATCAAGAGTTAGCGGATATTCATTTTGTGTATGGCTCTGTAAATGGAAACGCAGCAGAAGCAGCCAGATAATTACGCACGAAGATTTCCAAACAGACGACATCCAACTCGCTCAGTATTTGTAAGAGTGCATCGCCAAATGATTGAAAATGGTTTTGGAAATCTCCAAAGGGATCAAAACATAAATGTTCGTCAGCGCCGATTTACCCGTATGATTCTCCGTGAGTTTGATAGAGATCCGACCACAAGTGTTAGGAAAGTTTCTGGTGCCTTGGGAATTTCAGCAAGCCATGTTCACCGTGTTCTTAGAAATGACCATAGACGTCCTTACCATTTGCAACCTGTGCAAGGACTACAGCCAGGGGACGGAGAACGAAGAATCACATTTTGTCAGTGGATTCTTGATAGAACAGATAATAATAGGGAGTTTTTAAGTAACGTTTTATGGACCGATGAGTCATGCTTCACTAGACGTGGAGTGGTAAATTTTCATAATCAACATATTTGGTCGCATGAAAATCCGCATACAGTTAGGGAAAGAAATTTTCAGCATGAATTTAGTGTGAACGTGTGGATTGGTATCTACCGTAATCGACTATTTGGACCCTACCTTTTGTCTGCAAGGTTAAATGCTGCGACCTTCTTGGAATTTTTAAAGGCTGAACATGCAAATATGTGGGATGATGTTATGTTAGATTTAAGAAGATTGGCCTGGTTCCAGCTTGATGGTTGTCCAGCTCATTATTCGAGAATAGTTAGAAACTGGCTGGACGAAAATTATCCAGAAAGATGGATCGGCCGTGGAGGACCAGTCGCCCGGCCTCCACGATCTCCTGACCTAAATCCATTAGATTTCTTTATGTGGAGATTTCTAAAAGAAAAAGTGTACCAGACTCCCGTAACCACGAGAGATATGCTAATAGTCAGAATCAGGAATGCATGTGATGAAATAAGGCCTTATTTGAATAATGCTATACCACGTCCGATCATTCGTAGATGTGAATTGTGTATTGAACAATTGGGTTTACATTTCGAGCAACTACTTTAGATTTTGTATGTTTGTCCTAACTATCCAATAGCATTTTAGTTGTAAATAATTAATTTAATTTGTTAAAATATTGGAAAATTAAACAAAATTAATATTCTGTTTTTTTGTGTTTATTTGGAGTTAGGAATTATTGCTGTGTTTAAAAACACAATCTAAACGATCATCTTAATTACTTGTAATGCCCAAATCGAAA